TCCCTTCTGTCCCTTCTAAAGTGATTCTGTTTGGATTTGTCAGGGTCTAAGTGCTGTCTGTGTTCCCATGGTTTGGTATACTTCTCAGGGGCCTTTAAAAAAATGCCATTTTATTAGTTCTTTTGTTTATTTGTTGAGTTTCTGATTTGTGGTCCTGTCTAGTGTTGAGAGTGGTGTATTGAAGTCTCCCAATATAAATGTGTGAGGTTTTATGTGAGATTTGAGTTTTAGTAGTGTTTCTTTTATGAATGTGGGTACCTTTGTATTTGGGGCATAGATGTTCAGAATTGAGACTTTGTGTTGATGGATTTCTCCTGCGATGAATACAAAATGACTGTCTTCATCTCTTTTGATTAATTTTGGTTTGAAGTCTAACTTGTTAGATATTAGGATAGCCATGCCTACTTGCTTCTTGGGTCAATTTGATTGGAAGATCTTTTTCCAATCTTTTACCCTGAGGTAATGTCTATCTTTGAAGCTTAGATGTGTTTCTTGTATGCAGCAGAAGGATCGATTCTATCTTCGTATCCATTCTGTTAGCCTGTGTCTTTTTATAGGTGATTTAAGACCATTACTGTTGAGGGTGAGTAAGGACCACTGACTGTTGATGCTTGTTTGATTTAGGTTTGTTGTTGCCAGTGGTATTGTGAATATATTTGTCCTGCTCTACCCTTGGTTTCTGGTGTAGTGAGATTATCTGTTGCCTGCATCTTTGTGGGTGTAGTTACCTTCCTTGGCTTGGAGTTTTCCTTCCAATACTTTCTGTAGGGCTGGATTTGTAGATACGTATTGGGAAAATCTGGCTTTGTCATTAAATATCTCCATCTATAGTGATTGAGAGTTTTGCTGGGTATAGTAGCCTAGGCTGGCATCCGTGGACTCTTAGTACTTTTAGAACATCTATGCAGGACCTTCTGGCCTTGAGAGTTTCCATGGAGAAGTCAGGTGTAATTTTGATAGGTCTGCCTTTATAGTCCCACTATTAAAAAGGTGGGACTGGAGTGACAGCCCAGTGGTAAAGAGCATTTGTTGCTCCTCTAAAGATCTTCTGGCATCCATGGGTATTGAGTGCACATGGTGCACAGACATGCAGGCAAGACATTCATACACACAAAATAAAATAAATAATTTCTTTAAAAAAGAATCAAAGACTGTGTAAGATAGAATAATCATCTGTAAGATGATTGTAAAGCTGACGTTTTTGTAGAAACACTAGTGATTTATAGCTAATGAGTGTGCTATAAAAATTCTCATATTTACATTTAAGTGATGCATTTAATGTCAATAATAATTAGGCATCATATCAGTATATTTTGATGGATGATTAACAGGGAGTACAATTTTTAATACTAACATAAATTATTTAAAGCTAGTTTATAAAATTAAAATGTGTCCAACAGACACATATTAAAGTGTAGGATTATTTCCATGTCATTGAGTATAAGTATGAAGTACCAGACTATTCATTCTCTCTCTTGCTGCTATGCAAGGTTATAAATAGTCACAGAATGCTCTGTGTTTTCAGGTCAGTACAATCTCTTGACAACATGAACTCCACCTTGCACGGACCTCAAAGTGCTGCGGACAGACATTCTGCCCAGTGCTGATTAGAATAAATATCTGAACGACATTAGAGGAACTTCTGGGGTCCTTTATCACAGGCATTTGGTGTCAGTACAAACAACAAAATCAACTCTTCAGGAAGACTCTTTATATTGTATGCTACCTGCCCATCAATTCACAAGGCCTTTTTTATCCAATACAGTTGACATCAACAGGCAACAATTTAGGCAAAAACGTTAAAGAGGCAATCACCAAACATGAGAACGAGGCACGGTGGATCATGCCTGTAATCCCAGCACTCAGTAGGCAGAAGCCAAATGCTTGCTGTGAATTTGAGGCCAACCCTGGCCAGATTGAGTTCTAGGCCAGCCTGGGCCACAGAGTGAGATTTTTTTTTTTTTAAAGTAAATAAGTAAGGCTGCACAAATTTAACAGCAGACATGCTCAGCAGCAAATGGTAAATTCACCTCAAATGAGGGAGAACAGGAAGTGCCCCCAAGCTCTTGGTGACATGCAGCACAGGAGTTGGACTCAGGAAGTGGGCCTAGCCCCTCACTCACGTGAGAGAGCAGTTGCAAAGGTGAGGGTCGTGCCCAGGTGCCCAGGTGCCTCTTCCCAAGGAGAAGTGCTAAGAGTGCACTGAACTATGGAGCTTCCTCAGGAGGCAGCCCATCACCTATACGTGTACAAGTGAGAGAATTCAGACCGCCTATATTCTATTGACCCAGTTTAAATTGAAATAAAATGCTCTGGTGTTTGTGCATGTAATGTCCTCATCTTATCCAGCAAGTATGCACTGAGTCCATACAATACAACAGATGCTGTTTAGGTGTTAGCGTGCACAGAATGGCCAAACAATTGGAGACCCTACCTTCCTGGGAGTGATATGTGGTGACTGAAGCAAACACAGAAAAATATCAGATAAAACATTAACACCGTAGAGTTAAGCGATGTGGTAGAGCAAACTTAACCTGGCAGGAGCATAGCATTATCTCAGCTGTGTGACAGAGCAGGAACTGTGGGGAGGCGGGAGAGGACGTGAAGTTACCTGGGAAAACTTCTGGACAGGGGACAGCAGCTACCGAGGCTGGAGTCACACTTGGGGTACATACTCATACCTAAAACCCGTGGGGCTGCAACAATAGGTGTCAGGGAGAAGTGACAGAGGTTGAAGGAGGAGCCCAGTCAGTGGCAGGGAACTCCCAGCGGAGAACTATAAGAGTGGCATAGAGATGGAAAGTGGCCATGCTGTGAAAGGCCATCGTGGGGGTGTGGCAATGGCTCCGCAGGTGAACCCTTGCCATGCAAGCATGATGACTGGAGTTCAGACCCTGATAACCACAAATGCCAGGTGGACTAAAATCCCAGTCCATAGAGTCAGAGATGGGGTAGCCTGAAACAAACTATATTGGCTACCCGATCAACACATTCTAAGATCAGCAAGAGAACTGTCTGAATATGTAAGAGGAAAAATAAATGAGGGAGACACCTGAGATGAACCTACACACATGTGTACACATGCACACACACATTCACACACATACATGCACACATACATACACACACAAACACATGCATAAACAGGCACACACATGTGAATGCACACATATCTACATGGGAACACACACACATGAACATTTACACACAAGAACACACATGCAAACATGCAAACACACATACATATTTTTACATGGGAACATAACACATAAACATAATTATTCACAAACACACACACACACACACACAAATATACATGAACACATGGGAACACACCTAGCACGCAACCACACATGAGAACACATGCACTCACTTGGGAACACGGATGCATACAAGCATGCTACACAGGCACACATATGCAAAACCAAGCATAAAGACAGTCTCCTGCCTGAATATTGGAGACTGGCCATCTGAGGCTTGGGGGCAGAGGCTGAAAACAGTCAGGTGGCTACAAAAATGAGCCCAGAGCAGTGGTAAGACATTGACTGAAGAGTCCTGCCGAGGGTTATTGATGGATTAGAGGTGAAGAAAGGGAATGAAGGTGGACTTGACTCTAGGACGTTTGTCATGAGCCCCCGAAGAATGAAGCTGCCACTAGAGGCATGAGAGAATGTTGCTGAAAGGAGTTTGTAAAGTCAGAGATACCCTGTGGATACTGGGATCCTGGGTTCAAAGTAAGCCCAGGCTAGGAATGAATGTGTGCGTGCGTGCGTGCGTGCGTGTGTACATGCTTGAGTGCCTGTGTGTAGGTCAGAGGACAACTTGCAGGAGCTGGTTTTTGCCTCCCACCCTTTGGGTCCCAGAAATCCAGCCCTCCCCATCAGGCTTGGCGACAGGCATCCTTACCTGATGAACTACCCTGTCAGTGTCCCAACATTTATTCTCTAAAGCTTTCTAAAGGCACTTTAGCATAGAAACATACTTATTTTATCACAGACCCTGTGTGAACTCTGCGTGAACTCACTTATCACCACTGCCTAAGATGAGGCCACAAATAGTCAAATCCCTTCTTAGTGGGCTCAGCAGTTCATAAAGTGTAGGACACCTTATTTATGTCATACCTCACAAGTGACTACATTGTCCTGTCATGACTCAGTGGTTATTTGTTGTTGTTGTTTTTAATGTGTATTTTCAGTGTGGGCCAGAGTTTATGCATGTGTACTATTTGTGTGCATCAGATCCTCTGGAACTGGAGTTACAGGCAATTGTAAGCCTTCCAACAATGTGGGTTTGGGGATCAAACCTAAGTCCTCAGTAAGCGCTCTCAACTGCTGGGTCCCTCTCAATTTTACATCATGAACTTTCTTGTATTTTATGGTAGACACACTCCAAGCACCTAATACCCCAAGCCTGGGGATCCCAGCCTTTCATGGAAAGAGGAAGTTGGCCCATGTGACTGTGCTGGCTCTGGAGGTGGGAGAGCAACCCTGAGTTCTCTGTACGGATATAGGGGTTGGGCAGGGATGGCCAAGTCAGGGAAAATGTGCAGATGGAAACATGCCCACGGGTAGAATTGATTAAAATCTGAAAATATGGCCACTGGATTTTAAGTGAGTTACTCACAATCAAACTATCTTAAATGAAAAGTTAAAAATCTTCCTGTGGTTGAAATAGTATGACATATTTCCAAGTAATAGTACACCTATTTTTTTCTCTCTCTCATTTGTTCTTCCTTTAAGACAGGGCTTATGTAGCTGGCCTTGAGCTCACTATGTAACAGTGAATTCTTTTGAACGCCTGCCTCTCACCCCAACCCAGGAAATCTGGGATTACAGGTGTGCACCCTATACCCAGCTTGGTCTCTTTTAAAAGTTATTATTTCTAGAAATTTAGGTCTGGGGTAAATTTGTTTTCTAGACTCAATAAATCAGCACTGATAACTAAGTTCTCCCCTCTCTTCTTCCCCTCTCCTGCCTCGCTGCCTCCTTTACTCCCCTAGAAGATGGTAAGAGAACAGTACACCACAGTAACGGAGGGCACCCACATAGAGAGGCCCGAGAGCCAGCATGTCTACAAGATCGGGATTTACGGCTGGAGAAAGCGCTGTCTCTACCTATTTGTTCTGTTCTTGCTCATCACCCTTGTTGTGAATCTCGCTCTCACAATCTGGATCCTGAAAGTGATGTGGTTTTCTCCAGTGAGTATTGCCTTTTCCCAAGCATGCGCCAAACATCCTGGGTTACTGTTTTAATGGTGTGCAGATAGATGTTTCTTGTCTTTGTCAGGATTTTCAGTAGCTAAATGGCATCATGCTCTGACTCAACTGTAAACTATGCTGTGTTGATTGATTTTGGGGGGAGCGGCCCTTATTGCATTGTATTTTTCATTAATCATTATCTCTATAGGATAGGAAAGTCTAATCTTGAATTTGTGGTTGGTTGAGTCAAGATATCTTAATGGTCATTTGTAGAATGTAGTCTATAAAAGTATATAAATAACAGATTTCCTTAATGTCGTTGTCTTATATGTTTAGCATTTGCATGTCTGCTGTCATCTAATTAAATTAGCAGAATGAAATACTTGAGGCAGGTATATATTTGCTTTTAAAGAAGAGAATTTTTGTTTGCCATTTATTTTTGTTTAATTTTTCTTTTGTTCTTGATAATCTTATGCATGTAAACATTAAAATATGATCATATTTTCCCCCATTTCCCCTCCAATTCTCCCCATATCTTTCTTGCTGTCAACTCCCAATTTCATGTCATTACTTTTAGAACTCACTATCTCCAATTAGTGCTGCACACATGTGTCAGGGTGTGGGGCATCCCCTGGCACATGGGAAATCTACTTACTAGTGGCCACAACCTCAGGAAGACTGAGTCTCTCTCCCTCCACAGTTATCTATGGCCATACCCCTCAGTAAGGCTTGTGGCCTGAAGGTCATCTATGCAAGAATCTAGGGTGACTTGGTCTTGTCCAGATGACCACGGCTGCTATAGTTCCTGAGTCTACCCGCCATATCATGACCATAAGAGCTTTCCCAGCATGCCCTCACCCAGCCTCCTGCTTTCGAATTTTTCCTGCCACCTCTTCCCTGATACTCCCCAAAACTTTTGGGGAGGGACTTTGTAGAGATGTCCCATTTATAGTTGATGACTCAGTCTAAAAAAAAAAAAAAGTGGTTTGTTCAGGTCTGATGGGGACATCAAGATGCCTGGTGGGAATGCAAAAATGCATATGGTAGGAAAACAAGAATGCATGTGGCAGGAAGAGTCTCATCAGCTGGCAAAAAGCCAGCCAGACTGGGTGGGGCCAAGCCGGGGCTTTTATCACAGCCCTCCTATGAGAGCTAACCAGGACTCCCAGACAAGTATTTCAGGTACAAGTTGCCATTGACCAAGGGCTGTCCATGTGGACCCATCCCGTAAAAGTCCAAAAAGTTGTCACCCCAATTGTCAAGCTGCCAACACAGAAGTCTCGGGGCAGTGGTTCTCAACCTTCCTAACCCTGTGACACTTTAATATAGTTCTTTATGTTGTGGTAACCCCATCCATAAAATTATTCTCATTGCTACATCATGATTAATTTTGCTATGTTATGAATCTTAATGTAAATATGTAATATTTATGATGGTCTCAGATGACCCCTTGGAAGGTTTATTTAAGCCCCAAGGAGGTTGTGACCCACAAGTGAGAACCACTGCCTTGGAGGAACACACTTAAACCATGCCCAAGACAGAGCAATGCAACACGTGCATGTTTTAAACACTCTGATCTCATGCACATAAATATGTGGGCAAACACTTCAATATTCACAACAGATTGAGTAAATTAAATACCATCAGTCTTAAAGAATTTACTCTCAACATTCACATGTTAAAAAGTATTGCATAATTTTATTTGTCTTGCTATTTCATGTACACTTTTTTTTTCCTTGGTGCTGGGAGTTGAACATAGGGCTTTTTGCATGTTGGGCAAGTGCTCTACCATTAAGCTATGCCCCCAAGAAGTCCTTGTTTTGTGCATTTGGGTATGGGGGTTCTACAAATTAATGGAAAATACATTAATTTGGTAAGATGGATCCAGTAAAGTAAATTACTACTGCCAGAAACTTCACATTTAGTTAGTCTGTTTTTCCAAGGCAGCTGAGAATGTGATATGTGCTCAGGCTTTTTCCAAGAATGGTAGCTATACTCTGAGGTTCAATGTGAAATGTACTCAACAAATCCTACATTTTCTGTGCCCTTATTTATGTCTTGCAATGGTTCAAGTCAATATCAGTACTCTCGTCATATAACAAACATTTACATTTCTATACATTCTTGTAAAATACTCATAACATTAAAACATAGCGTGAAAACATTATTTAATACTTATAGTACAGAGTACTATAAGTGTATTTACTACAAATATATTAGAAATTATTATAAGTTAAATGTAAGTAAAGGTTACAAATATAACTATCTTTAACATTAGGCAATATAGGCTATAATTTCTAGGTCAGAATTTGTAATAATATTTCTGTAGCAGCATTATGATACTGGGCACCAATGCCCAGCATTTCTTCATGAAGGCAGAACACTTGAACATATATTAGTTATTTTTCTGTTGCTATAATAAAACATCATGACCAAGGCAACTTATGGAAGAGCCTGGAGTAGCCATAGTCTAATTTCAGCTAGCCATGAAGCATGAAAGTTTGCTTTAAATGCTACAATTCACAACAAAGCACACACCAGATATATAGTATCATTTCCCAGGCATGCAGTTTATAGAACTCATTTGTAAAGATTTCTAAGACAACGCAGTCTGGAACAAAGAAGACAGTGGTGACTTCAGGTCCACTCATGCAGGGCACAGCCTGCTCTCTCAGCCACATTCCATGATTGAGGTGGTTTTCCCACCCCCAGGAATGTGTTACTGATGCTGTGTGTGCAGGGTCTTCAGTGCTGATATTAAAAGAATGAGACATGCTACCATTTGCAAAGCCCTAATCCACAAAAGATGCTAGGCCTTAATCCTGAAACATTGAGTGCCACCTGGCCTTTATCCCGGCAGTGGAGTGACATTCACCATACAGTTTGCGTGCGTGTAAACTTGAGTCTTTGCTCTGAAAACTTAACTATTAGACTACAAATTGTTTACTAGTTTATGCTTTAATTTTTTTCCTGTTTGGAAAAATCTAGACATACAATATTTCTGCTTTTAAATTTCACTTGATTGTAGTAAGAAAACAATTTGAGATCTGCTCATGAAATTTGAGATCTGCTCATTAACAATAGGTATGTTCTGATCCAGCACACCTGTGGGCTTTATTCATGTTGATCACAGGAAACTTTATGGGTATTTATTACTCATCCCATTTCCGAGTCCCCAGCCCCCATAAGGACCATCCCAGTGCTGAATCTCTTGAGTGTGACTGTCCAGAGATCCCATGTATGTGATAGTCATGCCACATGTGTCCTTCTGTGTCTCCTGATGTATAGTTTGCTTCCACATCTTTGCTGGTTGTTGCTAAAACTAACATGATTGCACAGATAAAACCCGTAGGTTCTAATTTCTGTTTTCCATGACAAACTACCTGAAAAAGAAAACATTATTTTCAGTGGCATCTGAAAGAATAAAATATCCAGTGAAAGACTAAGGAGGTGGAAACTTGTTCACCACAATTGTAAAACATCGATGAAAGAAAATTTAAAAGGTACAAACATTGCAAGAAATCAGAGATCACATTCATAGATTAGAAAACAATATAGTCGGGGTCTGGAATGTTGGAAAGCACTGTAATCCCATCACCAGAAGGTGGAGGCAATGCAGGAAACCCAAGTACTCACAAGTACTCGCAAGAATGAAATTCATACTTTACACCACACACACAGAGACCAGCGCACACATACATGTTAGTGCAAGACAATGTCTTCTTGTGGCAGAAACCTTTAAATGTTTAGTTACCAACCTTTCTCATACATGAGTATTTTACAACATTTAATGAATATATAGCTATAGCGAATGAAGATTAATAATGCAGTTAACTACATTAACCTTGAAAATTAAATCTGGGGAACAATTTTATTTGGGAAAGGGGCATAAATAATCAAAACAGAATTTATAATGTCAAGTGTTATTAAGTTTATTTTTCTAAAAAATACTGTTGGCTAGTGGTGTTTATTGTCATTTAGGGTTGTTATAGATGACATTACCCTTTCTAAGAGGCTGAGACCTCCTCTAGGTGGATTCATTCTTATAAGGATTTGAAGCTAATTCTCTTTACTATGCAGCAGCCGAAGATCTGCTACCAAGGACTGTGCAATGAAGAGCCTGTCATTGGGCAGAGGAGCCCAGCGTTTTTAGTGGCCTCTGGGGCTTTTCCTTAGATGAGTGTTTGTCATCAAGTCTTCACTGGAAGCTGGGGAATGGAAATAGATAACATTTTGATGATCTTTATTTTAATCTGAGATGTCATCATTTGGAGAGAATTAAAAACTCAGAAAAGAATGTAGATTACACAGCTGACCTTTGGCTTCTGGTGAATGCATGGTGATCCTGGGAGAGCATCCAGATACTACATTTGAACCAGGCATGGGGGTGCACATGCTTAATTCCTGAACTTTGGAGCTCCAAGTGATCCTTGGGTGTATAGCGTGTTCAAAGACACCATAAACTACATGAGACTCTATCTTAGAAAGCCAAAAATGTCTGTGTGTTTGACATGGAAGCTAGCTCAGTAAAGAACACTTGCCCAGCATGCATGGAACTTGAAGTCAATGTCCAGTAACCCACCCCTCACCTCTGGGGTTTTTTGTTTGCTTGCTTGCTTGCTTGTTTGCTCCCTAAAATCCCACTCACAACTCTCAAATTTTTCCTTAAATTGAAATCTACCTCAGTGTTGCAGCATCACCGATTGGTCTAGAGCAGGATCCTTTCCCACCCCTGGATAACTCAGGTCCTATGCACCCACATGGATGCCATCATAAGTTCACAGATGGCTGTAACGATTAGCTTTCTGGCTTGGCAAGTCTGGCCACCCTTCACAGCCCCAAAGAAATATGCAGAAGCTATGTTAATTATGAAACTGCTGGCCATTGCTAGGGTTTCCTATTGGCTAGCTCTGACTTAATTATTAACACATTTCCTATTAATCTAAGTGTTTTCACGTGGTCTTGGCTTTCTGGGAATGCCAGACCTATATCTTTTTTTGCCTGCTACATCTCTGTACAGAAAAAGAGCAATTTCCTGTTTGTCCCTGCTTGTATTCTGATTCTGCCCAGCTATATCACTTCTTGCCTGGCCAATCGGTGTTTTATTCATCAACCAACAGGACAAACATATATACAGAAGAACATTCCCCATCAGATGGCCTTGGTTTTAATGCTGTTATTTGCTGAGTCAAAGCAGCTGAAATTGTAAGCAAGCTCCATATCATTTTCTTAAAGACTTAGCTCATCTTCCTGAGCTTGAGACCCAGAATGAGCAAAACTGATCCCCATCAGAACCCCACAATATATTCTTTACCTTAGATAATTCAATTGTGACCCATTCTCTTTGGTGAGCATGCTGGTGGGGAACTGAGCACAGAGGGACCTCATCTCCTTGAGATGGAGCCTAGTGCAGTGCCTGAATCATGTTCTCCACAACTGCCAGCAGTAGGGGCAGCCAGGTCCTTCCATTTCTCCAACATATGCCAAGTAAGAGCTTCTTCTATGTTGATAGTGAACCCCCTGAGAGGGCTCTCTAGAATTCTTGTGCCCTTCAGACTTAATGATGACATGTTCTAGAATGTGATAGTCAACAGGAGATGCAGAAAAATAAAAATTCTAAAAAAAAAAGAAGAGTCACACAACTCATTGTGGAAGCTTGAAAGACGTGTGTATCTCAATGTCCTTTGCTTTTGTCTTAGTTACTTTTCTATTGCTGTGATAAAACACTGCAATCAAGGTAATTTATAGAAGGAAGAGTTTATTTAGGCTTACAGTTATAGGTGGATAAGACTCTACCATCACGGTGGGAAAGCCTGGCAGCAGATAGGCATGGTAGCCAAGGCAGGAAGCTGGAAGCTCACAGCCTCAATGGCAAACACAAGACAGAGGAAGTGAATTGAAAATAAATGAAGCAAGACTATATACTCTCGCTCACTTTCTCTCTCTTTTTAATTCACACTATTCATGTAGTATTTGTTCTAATTTTTTATTTTTTTGAGGATGGGAGGGAAAGGGAACTGGGATTGATGTGGAAAATAAAATGATTTATAATAAAGTGTATTTTTAAAAAGACTATATACTCTCAAAGCGCACCAGCAGTGATGTATTCCCACCCAGACCTCCCCAAACAGTGCCACCTCCTGGGGACCAAGCTCCTAGGCCTGTTGGGGTCTCATTCAAAACACCACAACTCTCTTCTTTTCTAGTGTACTTGATACAATAAATGATTCTGTTGTAGGGATTCTTGTAAGGCAAAAGTTCTCAACCTGTAAGTCATTACCCCTTTGGGGAGGGGGTCAAGCGACCCTTTCACAGAGGTTGAATATCAGATATCCTGCCTATCAGATATTTACATTATGATTCACAACAGAAGCGAAATTATAGATATGAAGTAGCAATGAAATAACTTTATGGTTGGAGTCAGCATAACTGTGTTAAAGAGTCTGTATTAAAGGGTGGCAGCATTAGGAAGGCTGAGAATCATTGTTGTAAGGTGTTCTCCAATTGGTCTTAAGTTGCTATGCCTAGAGGGTTCCTGAAGCAACTTGGCAACTTCCTCTGTTCCCCACACAGAGGGATACTTAGTAGGCAAGGGGACTTGCTATTAAGCCTGACAAGCCGTGGTGGATTCCTGGGACCAGCAAGGCCAAAGGAAAGAACCAATTCCTGAAAGTCTGACCTCTACACAGACACTGTGGCACATATGTATCCAAATACAATACATCTACCCATCCATCAATACACACATACATACATGCATACGTGTCTTTAAAAAGAAAAGCAGTAATAATAAGATTTTATTTTCTTTTATATGGGCATGGAGTCTTAGATGTTTATTATAAAATGATTTGTTAAATCTTATGTGCATCTCCCAAATAGGACCTTGTGCTTGCAAAGTTTTTAAAAAATGAATATTGAATATAAACAACTAAAGTTTCAAGTAGACATTAAGAGAAATACAGAAAGATAAAAGAAATATATGGAAATTTGTGTGTAACTTTAGTTAATCCAAGAGAAGGGGAAAATAAAGCAATGGAAATTTTATGTCTCTTTTTCTTTAACAGATAGGAATGGGTCACTTGCATGTTTCACAAGATGGACTTCGCCTGGAAGGGGAATCAGAGTTTTTATTTCCACTGTATGTCAAAGAAATAAGATCCAGAGTGGTAAGAAGACTGTGTTTTACATGATTTGTGAAAAATAAGTAGCGGCTAAGCACAGCAGTTCATGGTGTGCCCAATCTACCAGTAAGCTAATGGACAGTAGACCTTACTTTGTAGAATATGTGCTTTAAAGATTTTATTCTTAAATGCCTCAGCAATTTATTCCATGGGGTGGGGCACATAATTTACAATGAAAAACCTTTACCCAGAACAACTGACTATCCCTCCATTGATACTGTAGAATATTTGTTTAACTAAGTAAAGGCGTGTTACATTTGTTTTGTTGCAGAATAACTATTTAACTATGTAAAGGTATGTTGCATTTGTTTGTGCTGCATTTGTTTAATTACGTAAAGATGTATTCTTTCATTTTGCCTGCCTACGGCACCTGAATGGTCTAATAAAAAGCTGAATGGCCAATAGCTAGGCAGTAGAGGGATAGGTGAGGCTAGTGGACAGAGAGAATAAATAGGAGGAGGAATATAGGCTGGGAGAGACAGAAGAGAAAAGATAGAAAGAGAGGGAGATACCTGGGGCCAGCCAGCGAAACAGCCACCAGCCAGCTAGATGGAGTTGAACATACAGAAGGAAAGAAAGGCAAAAAGCCCTGAGGCAAAATGTAGCTGAAGAGAAACAGGTCAAAATAAGTTATAAAAGCTGGCCAGAAATGAGCCTTGCACATTGGAGCAAGCTGCTTAAACAGACTTGATTGAGAGCATTCAGAGTCTCTGGAGAGCTGGGATAAATCCCTGTCATGGAGACTTTCTGCATTGCTTGCACTGCTTAGAGGCTTGCTGAGCCTGAGATTTGCCATAAGCAGATGCAAATCAGTCACTTGAACTTGAAAAGCAAATCAAGATTTGCCTTACCTCCATGGAACTTAGGAAAAGAATCACAGGGACTGAAGTAAAGATATCACAAAAGAACCCACAGGCCTTTCACCAGGGTCTGCTCCCAGCAACAGAGTGACACAGCATGACAGTCACAGTTGGTAGGATCCCCAAGGGAGGTTCTAGAGAGGACAGAGCATAGGCGAGGTCTTACCCATGATTGTGTTGTATTATTTCTAGGAATCTTGGGGTAGGTGGGACATTCAGATGACCTGTAATTCAGGCTGATTCATGCATGAGCCAGATGTGACATTTTTCTGGCAGTACACTTACATTAACCATAGTGGCATTTAGAAGTGTTACAGACACTGTTGTGTGAGAAGGCAAGGACAATTGTTTTTTGTTAGAAAGTCCGGTATGAATAAATTAAATATGAGATCTTATTCTTCCCTCTTTCCCAAGTCATGTTGGTTGATCCTCCCTGTATTTAGGGAGTAACAGATAGCAGGACCTGGTGACTTGAAGTCAGGTAAATAGATCATAGCCAACAGAACCTTCTAGAATTAAGAACTTTTTGTCAGGCTATCATTTCCAGAATGCTTTAAAAAGGCCAGGGAATACAATTAGAAAGAAAGTCTATATATTAGAGGCTCATAATGTGACATCAACACCAATCAAGACATAAATTATAGAAACCATGAACAGAACAGAGCTGTGCAGCAGTTTGCAACAAATGTGACTTCCCAACAGTAACATGTGCAGAACAAATCTCCCCTCAGACACCTGCAAGCGCCAATATTAGTTACATTTTTTCTAGGGGCAGTTCTCTATAAAATACTATCAAGTGAGCTGCCTCATCAGTCTGAGGAGTTTACCATCCAACAGCGGCCCACAGTGCTGAGCTCCAGGAATGTCTTCCTCGTGAATGTAATTCAGCATGTGACTTGCCTCTGACTCTGGAGTGCCCTCAAAAGCTGTGGGGCTGGGAAGTAGGTAAAGTACCTACTTCCCAAGCATGAGGACTTGAGTTTGCTCAGTCATGGTGGCCCCACTCTCAAGCTCAACCTCAGGAAGCACCAAGAAACACACATTACATACTTTTCAAAATTTTTATTCACTACTACGTGCAGGTGCAAGCATTTACGCAGAGGACAACTTTTGAAAGTTGTTCTCACCCTCCGAGATGGGATCCAGGGATTGAAGTCAAGCCATGAGGCTTGTATGGAAAGCTTTTATTTACTGAGGCATCTCACCTACCCTAAACTTACATATTAATGAGTACCCTGGGATGTTCCAACACATAGATACATTGGAGGATGTTTAAAAGAGTTCAGACCTATTTCCTCCGAAGTTTAGCATTTCTATATCGTGGAAACATTAAAAGTGATGTCTTCCAGTCTTTGAAATGTGTAGTGCATCACTGTTAAGTATGGTCCCTGCTTCTCCACAGCACTCCCAGTGCCTTCTTGTTCCTGATGAACTGTAACTCTGACCCACTAATGAACCTCCTCCACCCTCCCACCCCAGTCCCAGTCCCCTCCACCCTCCCCACCATGTAAATGACCAGCTTCTTCAGACCACACAACTGAGGAGTCCTGTAGGACCTGTCTATTTCTATGCTAGATTTTTTATTTTTATAGTGAGAAACCTTTGCATTTTGAGAATAAGCAGCATGGTATTTCTTGTAAAATATCTCACCATTCCCCGATTTATCCCCTACAAAAGCCTTGAACATAAATAACTATGACAACAAAGACGCTGAATGTCTTGGCAAACATAAAACACTAATTAGAATCTATTTTCCTTGAGAACTAATTAACGTGTTAGGAGCAATATTTTCAAACATCATAAAATCAAAGGATTATTATAATCTATTCTTAGAAGTCAACACATTTATACCCTGAAAATAATTTAATTCTGGTTATTTAAATTTATTTTTTTTTGCTGCAAGTGTAGAGGATCCAAGGATCTGACGTAGAAATTTTAAACATAAATTATATACATACATAAAGATATATTTTACTGATTCTGAAAATCCTTTCCAGGACTCATATCTGCTTCTGCAGTCAACTCAGAATGTAACAGTCAATGCTCGCAACTCAGAAGGGGAGGTCACAGGCAGGGTGAAAGTGGGTGAGTACAACATCCTTATAGCACCTCACGTGCTTCAAGTCCGTGGAGGGTGCCTAACAGATGGCAGTTTTCATCTAAAGACCTGCAAGTTTATTTATAAATAGTAAAACATGAGCTTTCTAACCTTCATGCTATGCATTGAAAACAGCACTAAGAGGCAGAGGGGCAGTGTGAAGGTTTGTATGTGTACAGTGTGTGTGTGTGTGTGTGTGTGTGTGTGTGTGTGTGTGCATGCATGCGTGCTGTGTGGTGGGGTAGTGTTAAACCTGAAAATAGTGAGAAGGATTAAATCCACATTATCTAATTAGAGCAAGCTTTATTAAACACTGCCCAGGATGATGGACACTGGCCAGGTCCATACCCACGATTCCCAGAGAAGGGAATGGAATTAGGCTAGCCAGGAGCTCATTAAGGCAAAACACACAAGATTATGAGCTCCCCACCTTCATCCAGTAGACAGTAAGCATACATCCTGACGTACTTCCTGTCTACATAGCTCCCGCCTATGCGTGATCAAGCACATCCTGCGCTGTTGGCCAACCAAGCTTGTTTACAGAAGTGAAAGCACATGACTTGTTATCTTACTTGAACAACAGCTGACAGGAAGTTATCTGTTCTTGGGCAAGTGGGGCTTACAGGTTAGAGGCATTCTTGTCTTAATAGGTCTCTTAAGCACAGTAATTTAAACTTAAAATGCAACTTTAGCCCTCACATTTTCCCCTTGAGTTGCATCCCGAATCAAATCCTTGATTCTGTGGTGGGTACCTATACATATTGAGATCTAATAACCATCAGTTTAATAGCATCAAAGTGGAAATGTATGTATCTAGTTAAGGCATTAATGATGCAAGGGCCAAGAGTAATTAGCAGAAACCGAAGGGCCAAAGGTGATGGTCTGTGATGGTTGACTGTGAGAATGGGAACTAGCCATTTTTCATCTTGGGCTTTTTTCTGTTTGTTTGCTTGCTTGCTTTTTGAATATAGCCTGATTATCTCTAACAATTCCTGAGTGATTTGCATAGAAACAACAGTTTTCTCTTAAAGTCACATAATATCTCCTTGTTCTACATGGAACAGGTCAAGTACCCTATCATATTATAGAACTATTTCAGCTAATTAATCTACCTGTTGATATATCAGAGTCTATTTGATTTTAACAGGTATCTTTCCTGGTGTGCCAATAGGTACTATGGATAGCCATTTTGTCACCAATGACAAAGAGTTTCCTTTTGACCCGGGTTGTCTGAGATCATCAGAAAACACATATATTTGCATTATGATTCATAATTGTAGCAAAATTACAGTTATGAAGTAGCAACAAAAATATTTTTGTGGGGGGGTCACCACAGCATGAGGATGGGACTTGAGGTTTTACTCTCTACTTCCTGACCCCGATGCAATGTGACTGGTGCCCTTGCTCCTGTCTCATAGCTTTCCTGCCACAATGTCCTAGAACTGAAAGCCAGAACAAACCCTTCCTCAATGTCAGGCATTTTGTTGCAGCAACAAGACAAATAACTAGACTGGTCCATGGGAAAACCCACTAGCATGTGATGGCACCTGCTAGAACTTGACACTCACTCTTTGGAGCGCCAAACACCAGAGGTCACAAAACAAATTCTGAGACAAAATAAGTGTATAAGCAATAGTTTTGTTAAAATTGTACAAGGCCAGGCAATTAAAAAAATCAACCCTTAACTGCTCTTAACATTTGGAAATCCAATTTTGCTTTAAAGTTCTCTTAAGCACAGTAATTTTAAACTTTTAAACATGAAGTTAGCCATCAACATGGCGTTAGTCATCACCTTGTTTATGCAGGGTAATAGGTCATAAGATCAACCGCTGTTTCTGCTTCTGTAAAACAATGCTCATTTTGCTCTGGATGACCTGCTTGATGGATCATAACTTAGTGTTCCTTGCCTTTACAAACCCGTTTCACATGGCTGATGAGGCTGGTGCTGCATTTGGGGATCCTGAGTCCCGGGTGTAGACCTGGTGTCAGTGTATAGACAAAAGACTCCTCTCTTAAAATGTCTGAATGACTCCAGACCTATAACAGTGACTATAGATTCCTCCTCCTCTGCTCCTTCTCCCTTTTCATTGCCCATGGGGAGCTCAGAATCCCCTCAACTTCTGTCATACCCACCGTTTCTTTTCATGGGAACAAATGGATCCATGTGCAATGCACGCCAGCCATTGCTCTTGCACGAGTTGAGCTGTGAGCCTGCACTGAGGAAGTTGCCCATTTTCCCATGATTATTTTTGTCAAAAAAGTTATGTTTCATTCAGTAAGAGTCGATATTAATATAACATATGTAGGAGATGCTAGTGACTCTGGATCTCAGGTAGGAATACACACACACACACACACACACACACGTTAAACCACATCTTTCTTTATTTTGCAGAGAGGGGGCCGATTTCAAGACAGGGTTTCTCCGTAGCTTTGAAAACTGTCCTGGGACTCACTCTGTGGACCAGGCTAGCCTCAGACTCACTCTGTGGACCAGGCTAGCCTCAAACTCACAGAGATCTGCCTGCCTCTGCCTCTGCCTCTGCCTCCTGAGTACTGGGATTAAAGGTATGCACCACCAACACCTGGCTCACATCTTAAGAAAAAGAAAATTGAGCCAACTGAGAGCTTTAATTCCTAACTACATCTGTCACCAAAATCACTTCTTCAAGTCTCAGAATTATGATTATGGTAGGGATGGGGAGGTGCACACTGCGGTGTACATGTGGAAGCTGGTCGTATTCCGGGGTTTGATAATAGTGACACAGCAGTTGTGAAAACGGAACCCATGCTGCTTACAGCAAACACTTTTAATATCCTGTGCTGATTGGCCCTTCAGGTGCTCAAATGGTGGAAGTCCAGAGCCAGCACTTTCAGATCCGTTCTGAAGACGGTAAGCCACTGTTCACCGCCGAGGAGCAGGGTGTCATGATCGGCACCGGCAGACTGCGAGTAACGGGTATGTGGACCACCAGCTGTAGCTGTGTTCACAGCTCTGCTCCGCATTCTGTAAGGAAAAGTATCTAGCTGCTAATGCTTCTTGCTGACATTTCCTTTGACATTCTATTTATATCTGACAGACAATGCCTTCCTCATAGAGCTTTGCCCACCTTCTTCTTTCTCCTCTGTCTTCTAGTCACTGTAGCCAGCAGCTTACAGTTCTCTCTGTGTAACATATCTGTTTTATTCCCCACACTGCCAGATACTTGAATGTCCCACATGCTAACAAAACACCCTTTCCCTGGTTGATGCTAAATTGGAATCGAGCTCTCACTGGGTTCTCCTTCAGTATAAAAAATTCTGTGAGAAACATTTTAGAACTTGTTGTAAACATGCTTGCTATGCTTCTGGAAGACTAGAGGTACAAACAGTCAGGTGTGGTTAAGCCCCTTCCAGAATTTTTCTGCACTAATCAGATCAACAGTAGCATTATTCTCTTGTGCAGTAATACCGGGAAGTAGACTCAACCCCCAATATACAACTTTATGTAACATATGCATCCTTTCCAAGCATACCCTAAAGTGATGACCTAATATTGCAGACTGTTCCAAGGAAGCAGAAGCTTCCTTTATTTCTAAAAGATGCTAGGAAAGCCAAAGATGAGAAATTGAACCTGGTGGGAGGCGCAAGGCAGGTGCCTATAGTCTAAACACTCTGGAGAGAGGCAGAAGCTCATGAATTCGAGACTTGGGCTACATGGCAAGGCATACACACACACACACACACACACACACACACACACACACACACACACACTTATTGCTTAGTAAGTAAAAAAGCAAGTAGCTAAGTATCTGACATAGAATCCACTGGCCCAAAATACACATGGCTTAACTTGTCTGCCTTGTAATGATGGAGACATGGCACATGTTTAGTAGGAACCAACTGGAATTTTTAATGTTCTCATTTTCCTAAACTAACATTACATCATCCCATCCTCATGGCTGGACAGCTACAGTGGCCACTACTATACCTTCTACTCAGTCCTTCAATCACATACAATTGAACCACCTCACTCCAGTGGGCTGTGGTGCTGAGATGACATGATTGATAGCCAGGTAGATGTTATCTTCCACTTGGGATATTATCAGTGTATAATAGTTATTGGAACATATGACCACCTGTATAGGAAACATTGGCTTTTTTTTTAAAACCTCAATGCTATTTCTGTACTAGCTACCTGCAAGTTGTTAGGTCTGTCTCCTGATGTGTAAGAGTGTGTTGGTACCACTAATCTACTCTTGCTGGTGGATTAATGTGTGAAAAGTCAGCGTAGCTCTTGGGAAAGTATCATTGCACTGCAAGGTGTAGAGAAAAGGGCATAAACAGAAACTTGAATATCATCAAACCAAGCCATCCATCAGAGGATGAACCAACCATTCTCTAGCTTGGTGTTTCCTTCAGATTATGGCATTGTAAGTGAAGCAGATGAGAAAACTGGATGGGAACTTCCTCAGGGGCTTGTTATGTCTTGAAGTTTTGGCTTAGTAGTGCATGGGCTACTTTTCTTGTCCCTGTGCCAAAGCATCTGCCAGAAATCATCTGATGGGGGAAAGACTCGTGGCTCACAGTTCAGGAGGTACAGTCCATTGTGGAAGAGAAAGCATGGAGGATGAACCTGCTTGCTCTGCAACTGAGAGAGTTGATGGACCAGCACAGCTCAGACCAGAAATTAGAGGAGCAAGGTCTGGCCCTAGCAACCCACCTCTCCTGCTAGACCATCCTCCTAAAGGCTCCACAACCTCTCCAATCTGTGCCAAGAGCCTGGGAGTGTATGTCACATCGAGGCAAGTGGATGGTGACCTGCAGAGGTGGTGGCAGTGTTCTGAAGGAAGTGGGTCATTCCCAATTAAGGTCTGAGATAAGGAGATCTTTAGGGTTCAAGTGGGTGACTGGCATCTAGGAAAAATGGGGGTGATGGATAACCTTGGGAGTTGTGGGGGGCGGGGTGGGGGCATGGCACATCACATACCACACAACAGAGAGAGCCAAGCAGATAACAACATCCTACATTCTTGTTGAGGAGCAGGCATGAGGATGTCACCTCAGCTATTGACCACATGTGCATCCATGGACACTCAGAGCAGAAGCCTCGAGTGAGCATGTGTGAGCAGCACACACCAACTGAGCTATGAGAATGCCGATGTGAGGCCACTGGTGGGCGAGGGGAGAGGCAGTGAGGGGGCGGGAGTATCTCAGTAGCCATGTTCCTGGTGCCAAAAGAGCTGGTGTCCCAGAATTCGAGTCCAGCAAAGGTAGAGATTGGCCTTGGATTTACTATCATGGCGGTTACTACTGTCCTAGCAAGAACATTTCCATGGGGGGGGGGTGTTAAAGGCAAGAAGCAAGTTGAAGTGTTTACACTGGGAGTAGAGTGGGGGTTGTACAGATGCCGCGCAGTGTGGCAGCGATGGGAACATCATCTGAAAAGCCTGTGACAGTCCACAAATGCTCAATGGCTGTATGGAATTGACCTTAATAAATGCTTGGCAGCAAAGATGCATTGATGAAGCAAGTGTCTGTGTTTGCACAACCCCTGTCAAGTAAAAGGTTACTACTGAATCCCGTGGAGTGGAGGGACCTAAAGGAGCCTGTCGGGAAGAATGGAGCCGCTGGGCTCTATCTGTGAACTCCATGCTTGTTGGACTCTATCCCATGAACCTTCTCCTACCTTCACCACTATGATCAGTCTAGTGCCCAAGGCTTAATGCAGATCTTCCCAGGAGTAGCATTCATTCAAAAGTAGGTGGCCACATAGGTATGTCTGTACGCAGATATTTCTGTCCCTCCTGCCAGCACCCAAATTACAACACAGAATCTTGTTATTAATTATGAAAGCTCAGCTGATAGCTTAGGCTTGTTTCTAACTAGCTCTTATAACCTGAATTAACCCATTTCTATTAAGGTACTTTATTTTGTACTGCCCATGTTGTTTCTGTGTCTGGTGACTCCTCACAACTCCACCCTTCTTCTCAAGAAGGGTCCTCTCTGCCCTGAAAATCCTGCCTAGCTATTGGCCATTCAACGTTTATTAAACCAATGTGAGTGACAAATCTTCACAGTGTACAAAAGCGCTATTCCACCACATATATGGGATATGGGGCATTCCCTTGATTGACGTGGGAGAACCCAGCCCGCGGTGGCAGCGCCACGCCTGGACAGATAGAGCTGGGTTGTGTGAGACAGCAATCTGAGTAAGCCACAGGAAGCCAGCCAGTAAACAGCTTTCCCCCACGCTTTCTCCTCCAGGCCCTGCCTCCAGCTTCCTGCCTCAGTTCCCTCTGTGATGGACCTGAAACTTTAAGCCAAAATAAACCCTTTCCTCCCATGTTGCTTTTGCTCATAGTGTGTATCAAAGCACTAGAAAACAAACTAGGTAACAGAAATTTTTACCAGGGTGCCCTAGGCAGGGGTGTACCTAAAATGAGGGTGGGGTCTGGTTATAGGTGAGGTCCAGGCAAGGTGTGTCCTAAACCTGGGATGGGCCAAGTCCGGGTAGAGTCTAGACATGGGTGGGACCCAGGCAGGAGCTAAGCTTTGGTCTGGCAGGACCTAGGCCAGGCAAATCTTACTTATTTGGATAAATAAGCCTGGATGAATCAGAGTGGGTGTAAATGGAGGAAACACTGCCCCCACTAAAATCTGTGCATGTGCCCATAAAACTCAAGGTAAGGGATCTTTTAATATTACCTGAAGCGTGGGTTTGTGTCGCCCTGCGGAACCTCTGTGCCCAGCATGCCGAATCACCCATTTGCTCTGTGTGTCCTGCTGTTTTGCTTGGTCCTTACCTGCAAAGGTCGAATGCTACAAATGACTGTTTATCGCAAGGTTTGCACTAACCACCATGTGCCATAGTCTGCCCTGCTGCCTTTAACCACAGCATGGCTTTCCAGTCCACGTGGCCCCTTACTTAGGTAATGAAGGCTCACAGTATGCGGACTTAAAATGCGAACACGGGTCACAAATGATAGCTAAACGCAGGATATGACAGTGTGCCACCTGCTCCAGGCACATTCTTGCCTGTGATCAAGTTCTCTGATAAATGGACCGAGGTGGATATGCTAGTTCCAGAAACACCAGGGGGCTGTTTCAGATGTTTAGAATTTTTTTTTTTGAAGAAATTTTTTTTAATTTTATTTTTTTAGTTTACATATCAATCTAGTTCATTCTCCCTCTCTCCTTTCCTCCCTCCCTCCCTTTTTCCTTCTCTTTCCCCCTCACATGAACCCCGACCACCCTCCCCTCCCATCCCCCCTACTCCACATGTAGGATGATGCCATCCAGGAGGGGTCATCTAAATCTGTCAAGTCATTTGGAGTAGGGACTAGGCCCTCCCTCCTGTCTCTAGGTTACGGGAGTATCCCTCCATGGGGTGTGTGCCCCCAGAGTCCTTTTGTGCACCAGGGATACATCCTGGTTCCACTGTCTGAGGTCCCTTAGACTGCTCAGTCCTTCTGGCTGAGACCCATGTTCAGGGCGTCTGAGTCAGTCCCATGCTGGATTCCCAGCTATTAGTCTGGGAGCCCGTTAGCTCCTCCTTGCTCAGGTCCACTGTCTCTATGTGTTTCTATAAGGTGGACTCTAAGAGATTCATATAAGGTCCCTCACAGAAGGGGGAAGGGACAAGTCCCCCAGAGCACATGGGGAGTTGGGGGGGGCAGTGAATGGAGAGGGAACTAGGAGAAAGAGAAGGGGAGGAGAGGAAAGCATGTGGGACTAGGAAGATTGAGTCAGGGGAGGAATAGAAGACAGGAGAGAGAGAGAGGAGACGGAGGGAGGGAGAGAGAGAGAGAGAGAGAAAGAGAGAGAACATAAAAGAGGGAGCCATTATGGGATTGAAGAGAAAACTGAACCTAAAGAAATGTCCAGAGACCTATAAGACTGACTCTAATTAACAATTTGAGCAACAGTGGAAAGGCTACCATAAATGCCCTTCCCGGATAATGAGATCAACAGCTAACTTATCCACCATCATGGAGCCCTCATCTAGTACCTGTTGGAAACAGAAGCAAACACCCATAACTAAACACTGAGCTGAACCAGATGTTTACAATTTTAAAGCTGGTCCTTAGAAATAAGCAACATAAGACACAACTGTTTCACACACACACACACACTCACACACACTCTCACACACACTCACACAAACACACACACACACTCACACAAACACACACACACTCACACACACACAGAGTATTACTGAAAAGTATGTAGGTAGATGCAATGTCATCATGAATTGTTTCTTTTTTCATTCTGATGACTAGTATCCCTTGTTCCATACCTTGAAGGTAATCATCTGTATAATAGTGGGTTTCATGAGCTTTCATTTTGACTGCAGCCCATCACATGAGGTAGTGTGGAACTTTCTACTCCCAATAGTTAAGCCAAACCTCACAAACTCTGGGTTCTGGGTAGGATTGCTCAGCCTCTTGTCTGGACTGGCTATTTAATTGGCTCATCCACTTCTTGTATTTTGTTCTGATACATCTCTGGGCTTTGTTTAGGGCCAGAAGGAGCTATTTTTGAACACTCAGTGGAGACACCCCTTGTCAGAGCTGACCCATTTGAAGATCTCAGGTAAGGCGTTTGCTTCCAATACAATTAGACTTCCTTATAACAGGCAATGAGGTATGCCTGCAGACATGCTCACAGTGTCCCGGTATTACTGTATTACTCCTTACTGCCCGAGTCCCTGTCAGGGCTTTCAGCATGGAATCAACTGGTTATCCCTTATTAGAACCCAAAGCAAATCCAAAGCCCTGTTGGGTCTAAACTTTGCTATGGTTCCATGGCCTTCCTCTCTTGTTCCCACTGCTGCTGTTCAGGCTCCGTAGGACTGTGAGAGTCTGCTGGTCACACTTCTGTCAGAGAGACATTGCTCAGTGGACACTGTTTCAAATGCTCCGTTCCTTCCTCATTAGCCCTGGGGTGATGGGTGGGTGCTCAGGGCCCTCCATGGGTAGGGCTGTAACTGGCAGCCCTCTCCCTCAAATGCCTCCCAGACTTAGCATCTGCTACCCGTTCCTACCCCAGACTGCCCTCTGAGGGGTCCCTTTTGTGATACTATCCATCCCTACCCCACCTAAGAACAAGTCAAAGCCTCAGGGAAGAGGACAGTGCCCCACATAGACTTTGAAATTTGAAATAAGCATCCTTGAAAGTGTCGATTTACTTAAATTACAGGTGCCCTCTGTGTGTGTGTGTATGTGTTTGTGTGTGTGTGTTTGTATGTTTGTGTGCGTGTACTTTGGTATCTGTGATGAAAATTCACATTATTCATAATATACCCTCAGCCATTTTTAGTGTGCAGTTCAGTGGCATTAAGGAATACCAAGTGTTTTTGAACCGTTGTCACAGTCAATTTCCAAAGCTTTCCTTCTCTTTGAATTGAAGTTTTGTCGTCCCCCCCTATTGCGGTAAATAAGGATCAGGATAAACAAATAAGCCGAATAGATGTTTATTCAGGGAGAAATAACTTACAACCTAGACAGAAGAACACCAGGAAATTCAACCCGATCCTCTCCTGTCCGAGTCACGCCAGAAAGAGAGCGCCTCCCTGGCCCCCTCCGACCTCCTTCCTCAGGTCACCTCCGCCCATAGCTCCACCCCCCAATGGGCGTGGTCAGTGCTACAGAAGGACTACCTCACTACACCCCCCCACCACCCCCTGCCTTAAGTAGTTCTTTTTCCCTTCACACTTGTCTTCCTCCCTTCTGAAATAGTTCCCTATCTATGTCTTACATAGATAGAATGGCTGCACATGATATAAAACATGGTTTTTTTATATATATATATCTTTCTTTCCCCTCTCCATTACCCTCCCTTGTTCTCCCATCCTCTCCCAGCATCCTCCTTCTATGCCATGGGAGAGAAAACACGGTCATTGTCCTTCTGCATCTGGCTTTTTTCACTTAACATGATCCATAGTCCTACCTGTTTTCCTGCCAATGCCATAACTGCATTCTTTACAGATGAATAAAGATCTGTATATGTGTATATGTACAACACGTATAAAAATAGCAATAAACATGGATGTTCAAATATCCCTGTAGTGTGCTGACAGGATCCTTAGGGTACATACTGAGGTGCAGTATAGCTGGACCATGTGATTGCTCTACTTTCAGGAACCTCCATATTAATTTCCCATCAGCACTGTGTGATTGTTCCTCTTCCTCTAGATCTTCACCATCAGTTTCTTCCCTGCCCTCCCCAAGTTCTGGTCATTTGTTTGTTGCTTAATAGTATTGATAGTCTTTAATATGACTTTCATTTCTGACTGGATTCAGAAGTAGAAGCTCTCAGCAAGAGTCTCTTGGCAATCTGTTCCTGGAGTATTTCTCTGGCTTCCCTCATTTTCTTGATCAAAATCTTTTCGTATTCTGTAGTTCCCTCTTCATGTTTCTTAGTGTATTGCTTCTTCAGAGCAATATGTGGGCATCTGTGCTGCAGGACATGTGGAGTGACAAGAACCGAGTCTTAGGTGCCTTGGCCCTGGGCTTCCTACCTTTATTTAAAGGCTTTCAGACACATGTTGGCAGAAATCACCATCCTCACACAGCCTGAAGTTTTCAGATTCTGCTGTCTCTTTTGGGCCCCAACTACTAGTGGCCAGGAAGGAGACAATCAGTTTTATCTTGACACAGTAGCCCACCTAGGCAAAGGGACCCATCACTGTTCTGACTGGGATCATATGTAGCCATGATGCTGTTTTAACTTGCGTTTTTCTTTGGGTGTTGCTTTAGTTTCTTATCTTGTTTCTGTGATAGACTACACTGGCACAGTCCTCAGGGAAGAAAGGGTTACATCAGCTCATGGGAAGTCCAGCCAGCGATGCCTGAAGCAGCTGGTCTGAGTGTTCCGACCAGCAATTAGGAAGTGTATGGATGGATGCCTGTGTTCAGCTTACTTGGTTTGTTTTGTTCAGCCCAAACCCCACCCCAGGGAATGATGCCAGGCCCAGTGAGCAGATGTTCCCACCTCTGTTAACCTAAAATAGATAGTCCCACAGACATGCTCACAACTGCTTGTAACTCCAGCTCCAGGGGATCCAATCCCCTCCTCTGGCCTACTGAGGAAACCACACACATGGCAACACAAGACAGGTAGGATGTGCCCCCTCTCCCACGCCAAACACACACAAAATAATTCTTTTAAAAAATATGTATGAAGTTATTCTAGGAAGTACTGGATAAGAAAAATAGGTACGTGGGCTGGAGAGATGGCTTAGTGGTTAAGAGCACTATACTGCTGCTCTTCCAAAGGACCTGGGTTCTATTCCCAACACCCACATGGCAGCTCACAACGTTCTGTAATCCCAGTTCTAGGGGATGTGATGCCCTCTTCTAGCCCCCAAGGCCATTCGTATTAATATATGTGTGCTAACAATCATGAACACACACACAATTTACAATGAAAACAGTGTCTTTAAAGGTATCATTCATTGTGGAATAGTTGATTTTCTATAAACAACCACTTTTCTTTCCTTCAGAATCATTTTAAGATTTGTCATTCTTCTCACAATCTGTATGATATGGAGTGGGTGTGTTTTAACCTAGCTGGGGATATTGGTCGCCGACCGGGACCAGCAGGGTTATTCTTGGGTGACACGACCCTAAGGGGGCTGGTCAGGGATGAGAAAATAAAGAATATAGAAAAGCTGGGACCAGGAAATACTGCATAGACTGATGATTTATACCAAGCGAGTTAATAGAAGTGCAGTGTCTTATATACAGTTTGCAGGTGTGTGTACGTGGGGTGTGACAGAGATAGCAGAAAGCTGTCACACGATGGGATGAAGTCAGCAACAAGCTAGCCAAGCAAGGTTACACAAGGGGAAACACAGATCGAGTACACAGCAGCCTGGAACTGATAACTCTGGTCTCTTCAGGGAGAAAGGCCAACTTCCCACTACGTCATGATTTTGAATACGTCACTCTTGCATTTGAAAGTCTCCAATATCCTCTGCAATCCTGTTTTATTTTATGTGTGGAAAATATTAAATCCATGGGCTTCACTAGAATGTCAAAGACTTCATGCTCCCCTGGCACCTGAGCAGCCCCCTCCCCAGCATTTTAATGGTTCGGATCATGCTTTATCGCGTTTAGTAACTGATCTTAGGGAACAGACCCATCTACACCTCTTCACTAGGCTGTCAAGGTCGCGCAGGGTTTGCCTGAAATGCAGCAGGCCTATAGGAGCTGCTTCAGTGCTTTTCCTTCCAAGCAAAGAAAATATAGGTCACAGCAGATCACCCATAACCCAGATGCATGAACAGTTTCACCAGTGTCATACACATAAGTCAAACCTAACTAGACCAGTAAATTCCATATGTGTCCTTTAGGGGTATTCTTGCATTCAAAGCAAGATTTTGACATATGCCATACTCAGATATGATATGCTCTGATGTGTGAACAAAAGTGAAATTTTGTCTTGTGTTATACATAGTGACAGAGGGGGCAGGGTTCCAAAAGAGGGCAATGGGAGGTGAATATGATCACAGTGTATTATATGTGTGCATAACAAAATCCATTGCTTTGTGTAATTCATACATGCTAATTAAATGTAGGAATAAATAAAAACAAGACATAAATTTCCAATTAAACATGTATCCATCCAATTTAAAAGTCTCTCCAGGGCTAGGGGAAGGTGCAAAGGTCAAATGCTTGCTCAGCAGGCATGAGGTCCCGGGTTTCACCCCAGCACTGAAAAACTCCACTAAATTAATTCCTAGGGCCCTTCCAAAAGCTTGCCACCCCTTCCTAATCCTCACGTGGTTGGTGCCACCCCACAGCAGGCACAGTCCCTGAACCGCACATCCTTTCCTGTCCGTTGTCCCTCAGACTGATCTACGTTTACACGTTTCTGTGAGATCAGGCTTTGTAGCTGTGTGACTCGACTGCTGACCAACAACAGCATCGTGCCCTCTGGCAGAACCCATCCCTTTCCAGACAGGGGCAAACAAGAGATATTTTCTGGCACATATGTTTATGGTTCTTAGGTTTGGTCCAACCCCAGGACATCCTGATCCACTGGTACTGATCCAAACCCAGGTGGGGCTAACAAACATCCTGTCTCCTAACCTCATCACTTCAGCATTTTCAAAAGAAATCCTCGCAGCTGCCCTCAGATCTGGCTGAACTAACTTAATGAGGCTTTCAGAGGGAAAGCTGGAAGATAGGTGTCAGTAAAGGCTTGCCAGGCAGGTATGGTGACTTGAGTTCCATCCATAAAGCCACATAAAGGAATCAGGGATAGTGGCATGGCGATGAAGGATCAGGAACATCTGAGGCATGCTGGCCATCCAGCCTCCCCTAAGCAATGAGAGACCGCACCTCAGAAAAATTAAAAGTGCACTGTTCCTAAGGACTAACACCAAACATTGTCTGCTGGTCTCCACCTACATGTGCACACACATGCTCTCTACTGTGTGTTGAGAGTATGAGATCATGAGAACATATGCTCACACACACACACACACACATAAAAAAACAAATTTAAAAGATTTTTTTTTTTTTAAGAAATGAAAGCTAGGCCAAATTTTGTGACCTCATGGGAACGTGTAGCAAATATATTTGTCCTTAAACCTGTCTCTTTTGTTCTTTCCCGGTGACTTTGTGCATTAACTAAATACTATTGTCGTGTAAGGGGTTCACCCCGGCTTGTTTTTCTGCAGTGTCACCTGTACAAGGTGACAGCTGTCTGCTGACTATAGCTGTGGCCAGAGGACATGAATTTCATAGGCTGTCACTAGTAGGACACTTGCTTCTCTGCTACTTGCTTATCTGCTAGGATAGTTGTTGTCAACTAAACACACACTAGAGTCCCCTGGGAGGAGAGACCCTCAGTTGTGGAACTGCCTTCATCAGACAGACCTCAGAACTTTTTGTGGGGAATTTTCTTGATTGATGATTGATTCGGGAAGACTCGGCACGCCATGGGCATGCCATCCCCGGGCAGATGGCCGAAGTGAGAAAGCTGGTTAAGCAAGCCATGGGAAGAGGGGAAGTGAGCAGCATCTCCCATGAGTTCCTGCCTCGAGTTCCTGCCCTGGCTTCCTTCCCTCAGTGATGGACTGTAAGCTGCAAGCTGAAATAAACCCTTTCTTCCCCTGGTTGTTTTTGGTCAGCGTTTTATCACAGCAGTAGAGAGCAAACTGGAGCACTCATTATTTCTGGTTGTATGAAATAGAGCATGTCAGCATTCCGAGTGACATCAAGTCTCTTGGAGTGTCTGTGTCCCTTGTTAGTCACACTTTCTATATTAGGCCACGTGCTGAAGGTTTGGTGTGGTAGTTTATTGTCCTCCTTCGGGCTATTGGTCCTCCCTGGCTCAGAACTGCCCACTGGAGCCACCCTCCCACCTCAGGCTCTGATCAGCTTCAGCTAGAACCATCTTTGCTGTTGACCTCAGCGCAAAGGTGGCTTCTAACATTTTCTTTTTTCTCTCATTTCAGGTTAGAATCCCCAACCCGGAGTCTAAGCATGGATGCCCCAAGAGGGGTTCACATTCAAGCTCACACTGGGAAAATGGAGGCCCTTTCTCAAATGGACATCATCTTGCAGAGCAGTGATGGAATGGTGAGTTCAATGACAGCACTCCGATTGTATGTGCTGATGAGGTATCCATGTCAGGGCATCAGTATTATGACCTTCTGCTGGCTTATGATAAGACATGATGACTGGCATAACATAGACATTATGGGGGAATAACTGAGTACAGGTGTGAACCGGAAAGGGTCACAGAGGGTTCTATTCATTCCATAGTGGGCTACTTTCTTACACTGGCGTATGCCTCACAGAGTCACTTATTATTTTCAGTTGTAAAACTGCACTGCAGACACTGGGACATTCAAACGTCAAATTTTGCATTCCCTAGCGACTCACTGTTTCACAGCATGGGTTTATTATAAACAACAACTGCCTCCTGTTGTTACCCAGAGAACTCTTCTTGCTTGCCCAGAATTTAGTGCAAAATAACATGACTGGGGGTGGTGTGGGTGGGGGGGATTTTTCCAAAGGTCAACTATAGTAAGATTGCTTTGTCAGACTCAAGTTCAGAAAGACAGTAGAACAGACACACCCTACACCATGATTTGTAGAACTTTCTTTATTAAGAGAAGGTGAAAGCTCAGCGTCGCTGACTACAGAGTCCACAGAAAGGTGACATGTTGGGGCAGGAACTGATTGGAGTCATTACAGTACATACTCATATTGCACAGACTGGGACCTTGATTCTTTGTTCAAATAATGCATAGGTTCACAAAGTCCCTTTTAACAGCCCCACCGAAATGTCCTTTTGTAGTGTAGGTATAGCTGTGTGCACTCACACTCCTGTTTCCCGTGTGTGTGTGTGTGTGTGTGTGTGTGTGTGTGTGTGTGGTAAGTCACCAGCACAGTGGGGGTGCTCCGCCCACCTTGCACCAGGGACAGTTAGCAGAGACTGCATAGCACAGTGCAAGGATGAGTGTGGGGCACAGGAGAGCTGCAAGTCCGGAAGCCTTGGCTGCTGGGGGTCATCAGCCCTCTAATTCAGATAGGTATTTGAATTCTGGGACGTTTGCTGGTCCTCTGTGCCTGTCTCCTCATTAAACAAATGGGGAAATACTTGCTTCAATCATGCCTTGTGGTCTCTAGGCACTAAAGTAACACTTTGAAATGACCTTCAATTAACATGAATAGGAAAATGTTAGGATGCACGATGCTGTCCTAAAGAAGGTCATGAGAAACCACTTCAGGGATGTGGACAGGAGCCAGTCAGTGAGCACCCAGAGGGAGGACATGAAAGTTACCTACAAACTGAAACTTGGCAGTTTATGAGAATCAGAGCTGGCCAAGTTAGAAACGGAGTCAAGAATTTTGTAGACACGGCATCACCACACACTGCACAAGGCTTTAGTTACTATGGAGACACGACATCACCACACACTGCACAAGGCTTCAGTTACTATGGAGACACGGTATCACCACACACTGCACAAAGCTTATGTTCTTGAATGGTCATCATTCCTTCTGTGAATCAGGCAGCATTTTTGCAGGTAACACATGATGGGACCTATAATTCCAGTTGCCATTCCCCATGACTGACAGAGGGAGGACAGATGTTTGGACTTCAGCCTAACATGCTGACAGAAAAACAGTATGGGAAGTCAGTGGAGGAAAAGAAAGGACTGGACAAATTAACCTACTAACCACAAGACAGGACAGGGCAGAGAGGCCCAGGTAACAGCCTCCCAGGGGAGAAAAAGTACTCAAAGATCGCCTGGCATGGCAGAGTGCCCACTGGATTGCCTCTGCTCTGCAAGGCCACACAGTGCAAGCTGTCTGTCCTGCAGCTGGCAGTGCTCTGACAGCTCATTAGGAGATGGGAATTCATGGGTGAGAGCGGTCAGAATTTAAGAGAGCTCATTGTGGACAATGAAGACATTATGCCAACCTACAAAGCACTGAAACTTTCTTTTGATGAGCGAGGGTTGGGAGGAAGGGGCAAGCTGCTCCAGGCTACTGTTCTCATGTCCTTAGGGGAATGGGTCCCCTGTCTCATCAATGGCTCTTTGCTTATGCTCCTATTTAACAAACCCGGTGGTTTCCATGGTGCTTGCACTGGCTATGGTCTCCAGACTACTGCATCCAGCATTTAGTAGAAGATGGAATGGTTTCAAATACTGTTAAGAGTTTAGGGAGCATTTGGCAGCTAGTAGGGTGAATTAATTCAATTGTCTCTCTTAGGAAAACAAAGCACAGATAAAGTCAGGATAAAGTCAGACATCCACAGGCAAAAATAAAGATGTACCCATTTCTGTGAACTGCATGTTACTCCAACGGGCCGGAGACAATTTAGCACAAGCTCAATGTGATCACAAGTGTGAATTGGCATAACTTCAAAAGGCATGTTTTTAGTTGGTTGTTTTTACTTTTAGTTCTTTGGGGGTCCCACTCAGCTCCAAAAAAAAAAAAAAAAAAAAAAAAGATGGAGTCTTATTTATGAATGGCCTGGCCTTAACTTGGCTTGTTGATAGCCAGCTTTCCTTTTTTTTTTTCAAGACAGGGTTTATCTGGAACTAGGTCTTGTAGACCAGGCTGGTCCCAAACTCATAGAGATCTGCCTGCAAGTGCGGGGATTAAAGGCATGTACCTCCACAGCCTGCATAGCCAGCTTTTCTTAATTTAAATTGCCCCATCTACCTTTTGCCTCTGGGCTTTTCTCTTTGTTCTATATACCTTTCATCATTTCTTACTCTGTGGCTGTCTATGCAGGTGGATGACCCTGATGTCCTCCTCCTCTTCTCGCTCTTCTCTTCACAGACTTCTCTTATCCTCTGACTGCCAGCCATGCCTCTCCTTTCACCTGCCTAGTTATTAGCCATTCAGCTCTCTCTTAGAACAATCAGATGTTTTAGACAGGCAGAGTAGCACAGCTTTAGAGAATTAAACAAATGCAATATAAAAGAATGAAATACATCTTTGCATCATTAAACAAATGTCCCACAGCATAAACGAATGTAACGCATCTTAAACTATATTCCACAATAGAACTGAAAAGCAGTCTAGTTTACTGAACTAGTTGTAAAACAACTGGTTTGTTTTCCCAGCTGGGGAGTAAAAGAAAATAGGGTCTCTTTCCACATCGGAGGAGCTGTCAGCCCGGCCTGCACAAAGACTGGAAGAGGCCGTTTTAAGGGGACTCAAGCACAGGCAGGTACCCAGCTCCGTACCCAGCTTTTCAATGGGAGGAGACTATCCCTTGGTGAAGTTCATTCCTCCTTCTTGATGATTCATATCTCACTTTCCCCCAAACAGCTGGTGCTTGATGCTGAAACTGTGGGTTTGCCCAAGCTGAAGATGGGGACACCGGGTCCCTCTGGCAGCTCTAAGGGATTCTATGAGATTTGTGTGTGTCCCGATGGGAAGCTCTACCTGTCTGCAGCTGGTGAGGCCACCACCTGCGAGGAACACAGCCACATCTGTCTCTGACATCTTCTGCAGAACAGATGTTGTCTTGGTGAGCTGAGAGCTGTGACCTTGGCCTTCATGTCACTGGCAGCTGGATGGGAGCTAAAGCACTTAGAAGCTTGGAGGAGAAATGTGCCAATGGAACTGTTGGGCTAGAGTGCGTGGTCTCAGCATGGCACAAAGAAATGTCAAGAACTTAGTCACTGGATTTTCATCTTTCTAACCTCCATCCACGTCTCTTGTATTGAACTGTTGTTTGGAAGCAGTTTATAGTACTCAACAGCACACATCTATCTACACACACACACACACACACACACACACACACACACGCACACACACACACAAACACACACAGCTGACTGGTGGATTCTAAAATGCCCCAACTCTTCACAACCCTTCCTTTATGTTAAGCCTCAAGTGCTCCCTTCAGCCAAGTGCAGTGTGTCAGGTTTTACCAAGAGATCACCAGGGCTTAAAGGGAGTTTGAGGTTGATAGATATTCAATATGGAGTTAGGGGAATAAATTACACAAAATTAGTCATGCTTTTATATACATACCAATGAGCAATAAAAATGACATTGTTTTTCAGACCAGATTTTTAAAATGTGTTACTTACTTTAATGCTCATTAAGGTATTAATATTTTAAGGTATTCATTTTCCTCAAATTATTGGTGACAAAGACTCAGGCCAGTCAGTCATTAGGCACAGGGTCCCAGGTAACTACTGATATTAGCTCAAAATGTGACCCTAAATTGGTATGGCCATTTTCACTTGTAGAACTCTGATGATGTACTCACTCCACCCAAAACACCGACTATGGCAACTGTGTGTATAGATGTATGATGTTAATTTGACAGATTTAGCAGCTATCTAAGGGCTTTTGTCTCCCAGGACCAAAGGGAGTGGTGAGGCTCTGCCTTCCAGGCCTGTGCTGACTTCCACAAACAGGGGAGGCCGGGTGCAGCTGCATTGAAGTAGCCCTGCAACTTCTACAGAGGAGGCAGGGTGCAGTGACCTGGAAGTGGCCATGCAGTGTGTGAATGCATACTGTGCCCATTGCTGCATAGGTTGATAAAAACAAAACGGTATATTCCTAGGTCTCTGTGGAGGTTATTCATTGGCAATGGAAATGTCCGTCATGAGTCCTGAGAAATGAATGGCTCAGTGGTTAAGAGCATACACTCCTCTTGCAGAGGGCCAGGTTTGCTCCCCAGCAGCCACATAAAGTGGTTCACGGCTGCCTGTACCTGCAGGTCCAGGGGTACCTGACACCTCTGGCCCCCAGCAGCACCTGCGCTCACATGCCCATACCCCAACACAGACACATCCAAGTACATATAATTTAGAAAGTGTTAAGGTCTTTTTAAAGTGCCCATCATTTAAGAAAGGTGGCGGGAGTTGCTTGCTTGTTTTGAACAGTTTTAGAAGAATCCCAGACAATTTAAGATGGAGTGAGACCAGCTAGCTGTCCTGCAGATTCTGTCCACAGATCTGTAACACTAACACAAGCCAAACGTGCCTTCTCACCTCCGAGTCAGGAGAAAGAAGAAAAGTGAACCCTTTTGATGCTGTTTTAATAAGGTGTTTATCTAATGCTCTCTTCCAAAGCCCATTTTAAGGACTATAATACAGCACACAGGAAACAGCAAAGTAAAACTACAGTGCTTCCTATGAGTCTGGAGCAAACGTCTGCATGCACAGTGCACAGTGCTCCTGGGTCACAGCAGTGGGCATTTTCATTTGGGTTAAACCTTGATTTTTTTTTTTTTTAAATCTCTGATTGCTGTGACAAGTCTCCTGTCAAGGTCAGTCAGTCATCTATTTTGTCATTATTTATTCTGCTGTCCCGTGCTTTTTCCTAACCAGTGTCACCAAGCCCACAAGACCAAACACAGGATTGGCATTTATAAGTAAACTTGTTCTCATACAAGACCACAGAGGTCCCAATGGTACAGTGAGGCTGATGAGGAAGCATGAGGATGGGAGGTGGTGAGGTGGCTCAGAGGGCTGGAGTCCAGATTCCCAGAACCCACGAAAGGGCAGGTGGGTGTGGCCATCCGCCTGTAACACCGGCCTTGGAATGCAAAGGCAGAATGCCCAGAGCAAGCTGGCTAGTGAGCCTAGCCCTACCAGTGAGCTCTGGGTTTGACTGAGAGACCCTGCCTCAAATAAATACAATGGTAGAGCAATCAAGGAAGATTCCTGACATAAAAACCTTGAGCCTGTACAGGCAGATGCATATGTACTAGTGTGTATACTCTCTCTCTCTCTCTCTCTCTCTCTCTCTCTCTCACACACACACACACACACACACACACACACACGTGCACACATACACACATACACAGAGAAAGAAAAAAATAAAAGGTATGAATAAAATGTTTAACTTTTTGTGCTCCTTGGCTTTATAGACTCATATTGGAAGATTTTGTTCATAGAGTGCATTCTCCAGAATGATAAGTACTGATAAGTTAGGACCAAAATCTTCAGATGGACCCTAACATAAAATTATAGATACTTGTAATTAAATTTTTCTCACATTCAAGAACACACCTATGCTTATAAAGGCTACTACTTGGTCCTGAGTTTCTTATTGCCAACTTGACACAAGGTAAGTTATCTTAGAGGACAGAATCAAACCTGAGAAAATCCTTACATAAGATTGCCCTAGGGCAGACAGATTTTAAGAGACAGAGATTAGAGTTTGCTATGAGACTGAAAGAACATATGAGTTTGAGAGAGATTCATGGAGAGGAAAGGAAAGGGAGAAATGGTGTAATTATAATCTCAAAGGTAAAAAATATTGGCTTGTAGGCAAGCCTAGAGAGCATTTTTAAGTTAGTAACTGATGGGGGAGGGCCTAGCCCACTGTGGATGATGCCAGCCATTTACCGGTGGTCCTGGGTGTTGTCAGCCCTTCACAGGTGGACCTGGGTTGTCTAAGAAAGAAATCTGAGCAAGTCATGGAAAGTAAACCAATAAGCACCGCTCTTAAATGGTCTCTGCTTCAGTTCCTGCCTCCAGGTTTCTGACTGGAGTTCCTGCCCCGACTTCCTTCCCTTCATGATAGACTGTGATGGGGACATGTGAGCGGAAATAAACTCTCCCCTCTACGAGTTGTTTGTCTTTGGTCATGGTGTTTCACCACAAGCCATTGGTGAAGCTGCAGCCTCGGTTGCAGCATAAGTCCTGGGGTCATAGGAGGAAGTTGAGGTTTGGTACCACATGGCAGGGTCAGGAATCCTGAGGAGAGCCCAGCAGAAGCTCCTGACGGTACAGCTAGCTCAAGTGAAGCAGAGAGCCCAGACTTTTGGAGACGCCAGTACAATGAGACAGCCACCAAAGACAGCAACATACGTGGAGTGGAGCTCAGCTGAGCAGAGAAGACAAGTGACATGTGCTGTGGATGGCACAGCCAAGAAGACGGTTGCACAGGCAGTGGTTTCATAGCCTAATGAACACAACAGGATTCAGGGTCCACTTCCCATTGCATCCTGTGAAATGGACAGTAAGACTGGCCCCTATAGGCTCATATATTCCAATGCATGATCATGAGAATAGCACCACCTGAGAGGGATTAGGTGTGGCCTTGTTGGAAGAAGTATATCTGTGGGGGTGGGCTTTAGGGTTTCAAATGCCCAAGCCAGGCCCAATGGCTCCCTCTTCCTGCTGCCTGTGGATGCAAATGTAGAACCCTTGGCTACTTCTCCAGCATCATGTCTGTTTGCATAGCGTCAACTTCCTGTGTAACCCGAATTAATAAAAGACCCAGAGACTGATATTGGGGTTCACAATTCAAGCTGAATATCATAAAAGCAAAGTAGCCAGCCACTAGCTTCTTACCTCTACCTCAGGCTGAATGGGCTGATCCTGTCTCCACCAGCTCTCACCAAACCTCAGACTGTAACCTTTCCTCAGTGTGGCTGGAGACTGGATGCTCTACTGAATACTGAAGACTTGCTTCTATCTTTTATATCCCTCTAGTGCTGGAATTAATGGTGTATGATCTGTTACTCTATTAGACTGATTCAATCTCATGTATCCCTGGGTGGTTTTGAACTCAGAGAGATTTTTCTACCTCTTAATCATGAGTCCTAGGATTAAAGGTGTGCACCACCACCTCCTAGCTTGTGGTTGCTGGGCTTAAAGGTGTGTGCTTGGCTTCTATAGCATGTGGATAACTTGGTTTTCTGAATCCTCAAGCAAGCTTTAATAAATCATATATATCACTACATTCTTACCATGATGATGATGGACTAAACCTCTGAAACTGTAAACCAGCTCCAATTAAATTTCCCTTTAAAAGAGTGTCTGTGGTCATGGTGTCTCTTCACAGCAATAGAACCCGAAGACAGAAGTCATTGACTAAGACAGACACACACTGTTTTCTGAAAGCTGCCATGTTCTTATGGTAGGGCAGAGCCATGATGACTGAGCTCTCCCCTCAGTTCACCCACAGCTGTCTTGGGGAACAGCAAATGAAGGTAGAAGTCTAACGTATGGTATGGTTTTCAGTGCATCTGTTTTGTGTGGGTGTTGTCCCTTCCCTGATTTAAAATAACAGTGGTTCTAGACTGGCTTCAGCCACCTGCTACATGTTTTAAATTTCACTATCTACATTCTTATAGCTTGGAACACAATTAACTTTGCATCAAATACAAGTCAACCATTTAAATAGTGTGAGCACTGCATATGAAAAGCATACTGTTAATGGTGGAGTAGAGCACAAGCTCATTTCTAGCTTCTTAGAGGCTATGTATCCCCTTCCCCCTCATGGTCTTTGGCCATCAGTCTGTGAGGACAAAGGGGCAGAAGGGGCAACAGAGAGCTTTGGGACATGAGTGGAAATAGTCTTCTGGGAGATAGGTTCAGCAAGACAGATCAACTTTATTCCAGAGTGAGGGGAGAAATAAAGAATGAGGACAGAGGCTGGGGCATCACTTAATTTGCATTAAACAGCATGCTCCTATCATAGAGCTCCTAGTAAAAGTCTAGTTAGCACATGGACAGCAGAGGGAAATCTCTAGTGTCAAGGGTCACACTAGAGATAAGTTAGGCAATCCAGGCCTAGA